TTCAGACTCATACCTTCCTCCACCAGGATACAAGACTCATTCATACTGATTTCCTCTTTGCTTAGGACCAGAGCTAAAGATGAGAAGACTTGGGGAGAACATAATAAGTGCCTTTCAAGCACTTCAAAAGCTGTCACGTGGAAAGACTTACATGTGGCTTTGGAGGCAGGACAATGGCTAGCTAGTGGGAATTACTAGCAGGCAGATTTTTAATTCACCAGAAAGTATTAGAGCTGTCCCACAATCTTATGAGCTACCTGAGGTCCACTGACTAGGGATTTATCATGCACTGAGTCAGACCAGGTGACCTCTAAGATTGTTCAAGCCCCAAGATCTATCTTAACGGTGGTGAGGAATCTGTCTTTCCTTACCCTTTGCAGTGGACTGGCTTGATCGAATGTCAGTGGTTCGGTAGAGGCTAAGCAGACTTCACTGTGTGCATGTGGGAAATCAATGCAAACTCAAGGTCATTGTGGGGGAGGAGGCGGAGGCAGCCTGAGCATTTGGAAGGGCTGGAAGAAGGACCATGAACATGCAATCTGTGCCTCTCAGATCCTGGATCCCCAAACATATCCAGCCTTCCTGGCCTCTAGGGCATACTGCTGTCTAAGGACAAAGTCCACCTGCTCCCAGAATCTCCTCTGCCAACTACACCTAAATAAATGGTCAAAAAGACAGTCTCCAGTGTGTGTGTAGAACAGCAGTGTACGACTGACAGGCTCTTGCCTCCACCTCTACCTCCACCAGCTCAAACAAGTGTTACTCCTGTTCTTAAAGACCTTCAGGCAAGGTGGTTCAAGCAGTTTTCCCTGTCACCTAATCAGATGCCTTGTGAGACTCCCAGAGTCTTCACTGGCTCAGATCCACCAACCCAAGAAGCCTGCCTCTGATGGTAGTCCCCAAAACATGCCAGCCTTGGGTTGGAGAAAAGTGGTTTCTTCCCCCATCTCCCAACATCAACATCAAAAAGTTAAGAACGTTCCCCAAACGTCTCATTTCTATGATGGGTCCATTAATCATGGACTAATTATCTAAGTCAGTCTTCTCAATCCTAATCCTCTAACGTGGTGTCCAGCAGAAATTTACTAAAATTCAAATGGTGTCCAGGAGAAATTTATTAAAATTCAAATGTTTTCACTCTACTAGAGGGCATATTTGCCAAGACTTAAAAAGCTACCCCAGGTGATGTAGATACACAGCCATGACTGAAATCACAGTGCAAACCTAATCATTCACATCTAATAGCATCTCTCGGATGGGTATCAGTGGAAAGGATATTTAATTGGGTAATGATGGGCCCAGTTCTCAGTCTCCGCTTTGCTACGTGTTTACACTGTGACCCTGGAGCTCACTTCCTACATCTTCAGAAAGCGGGGCTTTGTGAGGGTGAGACTGGAGGAGAAGGGGCAAAGGCACTAAGTGTGACCAAACCTCTTGTTGTGGGGAGCCGGCTGGAATCAGTCAGGGACACTGAGGCTGTAAGCTGGCAAGCTACGGGCCTCCTTGTTAAGGTGAGCAGCTTTAGAGTAACTTTAGAGCAGCCTAAAAGTTATAGACCAGAGCTGCAGTAAGGGTTATGCCTGACAGCTGGCAAGCTGACAGGCTCCTAGGCCTTGGGGAGCAGCGTGGGAAGGTTGCTGGATAGATCTCATCTCCACTGTGCCCCTGAAGAAAGAACAGCCAATGTCACAGACAACCTTAAAAGTTACAGAGTGGAAGGCCATCCTGTTAACAGTTTCTGCTTGCTATATTTTGTTTTGTCTCACTTCCGAAAGATTGCTTCTGAGGAATTTGTTCACTGAGAGGAGGGGGCTATTCCCTCAAGGTCCCAAAACCCCCTACCCTAGGAAAGTTACGTTTGCTATAAAAGCTGTATACAAATAATAAACAAGGCCACTCTCTGCCATCGGCATTGGGTGGACCTCCTGTTCCCACTTTCGTCTCTAGTCTCTTTCGGTGGGTTCCTGGCTGACAAGTCGGGAGCGCTCGGTTGGTGCGCGGGTCGCATCATCTTGTCATGCCCAGGACAGTTTCAGCTTACTTCTGTGTTCCTGGCATAATTATTAATCATTCTCCCTTTCCCTCTCAAAAGTGTCCTTGATTAGAAGAAATTTTATGGCCACCCTATCTATAACATATTAGGCCCATGTTAGAGTGTTACTAAGCCACTGCATTAGGTGGTTATTTCATTATTATAGAAAGTGGTATATCTTTATTTATCCATAAACTATGACTCTGACCTACAAAGGTATGCTGCCT